ATTAGAAATTGTAATGACATCTATCACCTACGCTCAGTTAGTAATTCTAGCCTCTGGTGTTCGAGCAAAAATAGTAATGAAAGTGTAACGGTGACATGCGATAGAACTGGATCATTCGTTCCACATCCTTCAACTCTCAGTTGCTCCATTAAGGGTTTGTCAACTAATTTCGAGGTGGAACGTGATTAGAAGGTTCCTCGGTGGTCCGTGTTGTGCGGAGAGTTTTTGGCAAATATTGACTCACTGCTGTTTCAGACATGAATACTCCCTGGACAACCAAAGCGATCGGAGCGTGCACAGAATGTGACATTCTTGGGACAGAAAATGCAAAAAAGAAGCGAATGAATTTGTCTGTCTTTGCCACGAAGGCTGGACAGTAAGCTTCTTTTTCTCTTCAAGTGTAATGACCAAGTGGTCAGGGTTCAGCGAAACCCAACGTCGCAGCTGACGGATACGGGTTTGAGCGACATGAAACTCGACTTTTTAAGCGTACTTATTACTTTTCAAACGGATCATTTTCTACTTGTCACGCATATATCAGGTGTTATCCAATGGGAATACGTCTACAGTAGCCCAAAATGTACGCTTATGTCATTGTTAGCCGCACGCAGCTCCATGGAGCCCAAGGAACTCACGCATTTTGCAAGTGTTGGAATGTTCGTTCAGAAGGATCATCTATATTTTTGAGGAAGAGCCAAAAAACAGTTCAATATTTTATCGATTCCTTCTAGAAATTCCTGCTCAACTGGAAGATCAGGTTTATCGTGCTTCCAGATTGAGGTGCTCATTAGAAATGATGCACATACTGTCAGATCTGCTTTTCATGAAGCATTGATGTCCATCGCTTCACACTGTGACAAAGTGCTTATGGATTCTCAGAAACTTGTTTTTTAGGATGTTTTTGGAGAAGTGTTTGAATAGGGATTGTTCGAAATACCGAGTTCAAATATCAGCATCTAGTTCCCGCCTAGAAATAACAAAAAAAACTTGGAGAATTTATCACTTTATGTTGATCTGATGTTGAAAACATTTCAGTCTTAGAATGTTCATCACAAAAAATAAGCAAAAGAATTCCAAAAAAACTTCAGCAATGTTTTATTATGGTGTCCGGAAAGTTTCAAAATAATTTAGCCTTTCAAGACGTGGGAGCATTCTGCCGTTAACCCTCTGGATTTGCACGTAGCGTGCTCGTGGGACCACGCCTCTTTTGGCGCGCCCAACTCTCGCACAAAATGGGGCAAAATTGTCCCTAAAAGCAGTTTTTCTATCAAAATTTTGACTGACAATAAAAAATATGACTGCAGTCTTAAGCTTTATGATCATGTATTGTTGGAATTAGAAGTGGAAGTTTGGAAAGAAATCTCGGATTTCAAAGGGATGGTGTTTGAAAACTTCAGAAATTCAAATGTACAGTAGAATTTTTGATATAGTTCAAACTCCTCTTTTTAAGACTGTGAAAAGACGTAGAGGTCCTGATCTGTAATTCACCTTAAGCTTAATAATGTAAAACACTAGTTAATACATCGCCGAGCGAAGTGCCATATCCTAAAATTCATATAAATTAGCTAGTAACAAACATTTCTGCAAAATATGCTAAACATAGGCGTAACGGAGCTTGCTTATAATTACTGATATGTTGAAAATGTTTTAAATGGGTAAGAAGAAAATTTTAGGGTGGCACCCACCATTGGGTGCCATTGTCCCACGCGACGGTCATAGTGGCACCCACCGGTGGGTGCCATTGTCGTCAAAGGGTTGATGCTCAACTCTGCGCCTGCCTACTTCAGGCCGATGTCATAGTTTGCGAATCGAGCGATTCGCTAGCGAATTGAACGTTGCACCAGCGAATCGAACTTTGAGCCAGCGAACCGACCGATGCACCAGTGAGTAGAACTATGTACCAGCGAGTCGAAGGTTCGAAGGAAGTCCCGAAACAGTGTCCTCCTTCAAAAAGAATTTCCTCTAAACGTTGAGTCCCGCCACTTTCAAACAGTGTCGAGTCGCTGGTACATCGTTCGACGGTGCATAGCTCCACTCGCTGGCGAACTCGCTTCGAACTCGCTGGCGCAACGTTCGATTCGCTGACGCAACGCTCGTATCCAGCGACTCGCTAGCGAATCGCTTGTGTTCGCAAACTCTGACATCGGCCTTACGTGCGAATTTCTCGCGTCTGAATGGCACTTAATCTTGGAAACAAGCTTTTGCAAAGTCTCTTTCCTTCAAAAAATCGCCCCGTTGGACCGTTTTTTTTGCAAGACCGGGTTTTTTGGCTTTCAATGACTATAACTTTCTTCAAATTCCACCTTTTGCAATTCTTGTCCCCCTGGGTTAAACTAGAAGGTTAGAGCTTTCTAACGAATACTTGAACTCTTTCAAAATTGATGGAGTCAAAAAATCGCCCCGTTGGACCGTTTTGGGGGCGGACCGATTTTTTGCAGAGCGCTGGTTTTTTGGCTTTGAACTGTTATAACTTTCTTTCAGATTCAACTTTTTGCAGTTCTTGTCCCCCTGGAAGAAACTAGAAGGTTAGAGCTTTCTAATGAATACTTGATCTCGTTTCCAAAATGACCCGTTCAAAAATCGCCCCGTTGGACCGTTTTTTTTCATGAATTTTCGGAGCTACTCTCCTGAAAACACGAGTTTTCAACACTCAAACACTCACAGCTCTCTTCAAACTCAATTTTATGGGAATAATGATAATATGACATCGCACAAGCTTGTGCTTCATGAAAATACTAAACCTTTTTCTAGGAAGTTGTAGATACTTAATTTTTTTCTCCAAACGCTTCTTGTAAGCCCTTAGTAGTCAATCTACCCTACTGGTCACTTTTTTACTAACTTAGGTCCAGTTTGAAGACATTGGTTCTCCTCGAGAGCATATTTGTGTACGTGAACAGTCAAATATGGACACTTCTGCAGTAGACTCTTCTGCTCTGAGGTGCGCCATGCACTCGTTTGTGGTTGATAGTTGGAGAAGCCTCGACATTTATACCCTCACTTTCTATCGCGAAAGCAAACGTTTCAATTCTGATCATTTGATGTTGTGAGTCTAAGCCAACAGCATGGCATCGTAGAGATATTTCGCCAAGTTCCTTGAGGCTTCAGTGGTGCTCTCTCCATCCCATCTATGTGGATAGATAGGGGTTCCATGATTTATAGTTTCCATGGCAAGCCGCTCAAGCACTTTTTATCGTCTTTGGCCCAAGAATGATGATGTGCAGCGAAAACGCTCCCTGAAATCCTTATATTATTCTTATAGCGAAAACCACCACTCCTCACCTACACCCATGAAAACCGCTGCGTATTGCGACGATGACCCCGCGATTACGACCCCCCTCTTTTTCACCCCCAAAATACGACCCCCCCCACCCCCTCGTTGGACTTTGTCCAACGGACGGTTGACCCTGACTGCAACTGAATGCTTTGCTGTACATTGATGGAACTCGCTTATTCACATCAAATCAAAGTTAGAGGGGTCGTATCAAGACCCCGATCTGAGGGGGGTCGTACTGATGGACCACGTCCTCGACACGATTTTCACCCTGCTCTCGACATCCGGCGCGATTCAATCTTCCCAAAAAGAATGCCGCTGCTCTGATCCCAGCGCTTACGATCCCTCACCTCCCATCGGACGACTCCCTCGCCGAGGATTTCTCAAAAGCACGCTTGACCCTGCTCCGGAAGAAGGGCATCTAGGAGCAATCAACAGACGAAAGACGGGATTGACGATTGGTGATAATGGAGCATAATCCGAATGATTCGCTAGTATTGTTTTGTTTCGTGCGATAACAAATTTTAGACCTCAGTTTCTGAGGATCCATGAGTCGGTCTAATAATTGTGAACTTATGGTTAGTAGAATACACGGCACTTGAAAACCATGAACATTATCACAAGTCTCGGTATCTTCCCATTCCATCGCCATCATGAGCAGTGACTATAAGATCCCTACTATACGTAATTCGCTAAGTATGTGTGTCTGTGTGTACGTACGTCCGTCTGTCACGAAATTCATAGCGCGCTTCGCTGCAGGCATGGAGCGCTGTATTTGAGTATGGTGTAGGGGGTGGGACGGCAACATATTTGGTGGGGTTTAGAAAGTGATACCGACTGATAAGATCTGATAAGAGGCGCTGAAACGCAAATTTCACGAAATTCATAGCGCGCGTCCCAGCAGCAGTGGGGCGTTGGTTCCAAGAAGTGATGTACAGGGTGCGGGAACATGTTCGGTGGGGTACAGGAAGTGATAAGGGCCGATAAGGGCCGATAATTACGATATTCGTAGGAACATAGAGACCACTCAAAACCATATTCTAGATAACGCATTTCACTTCAGTATCATCTCATTGCGTTGTTGTCATCAAAAATACCGTTCGACCGCTACAATCCCAAGTCTGAGAATGTATGATGGATGTTTAGCGAGCCTACGAGTTGGGTCTTCTGGTTCCTCCGGGGAGGACTCGCAAAGAAGAGTTTTTGTTTCCAAGTGGACGGAAACCTAAAACCTACGCCTTCTGGTTTCTCGGAAGAGAACGCGCAAAGAAGGAGTTGATTTAAATCTTCCTGGTCCCCGGAAGGCGACTTCAGCTACAGAATAATTTCTTGTTTCATATGTGAATAGAACGTAGAACCACGCTCTTCTCGTTTCTCATGAAGAGCACGCGCGCCAAGAAATAATATTTGTTTCTATGTGAATAGAAACGTAGAACCTACGCCTTCTGGTTTCTCCTTCTCCGAAGAGAACGCGCAAAGAAGTTGTAGTTTTCCGCCCTTCTGGTTCCTCCTGGGAGGACTCGCAAAGAAAGAACTGGACTCTTTTGTCTCTCCAGAGAGAGCTAGCGCAAAAGAGTGTAGAGATTTGTGGGTTTGAACCCAAGGCCGATGCACCAATTTGGCTAGTGAGCCAATGGAAGACTTAACCAGTGACGTGTAATATTTATTACGACGTGTTAGTGTAAGAATCGACAATAATAATGCATTCAATGGGGTTTATATACAGAAAATGTGGGCGGTCCTCAGATACCGTGTCGCCGCTGGACCGTGGGGGGCCAGTGGCGGTACTCAAGCTCGGGGGATGAAAGGGTGGACCGCGCCAACAGCAATATTTAAGTTACCTACTTGATTGCACACTTATGATACCGCTAGGTCATGCCTGCGGTATCATTTCAAGAGATACTCATCTATAGAACGTCCTAAGGTAAATAGTTGAACTAGCACGTTATCATTCACTTATATGAATCCTAGCTCTAGTAGAAATATATAGGTTGTGTATCCACAACACAATGGGCCTCATCCCCCTGAACCTGAGAGAGCCCCCAACACG